CTTGATAGTCTCTGACTTTGGAATTACAATTCATAATGCAGATATTGCTCGCTAGTTACGCTATATTAAAACTACACCTACCAATTTATGAGAAAGTAAATAAAGAGCCTGTACTGAGATGGTGCATTCATTGATTCAGGAAGAAACAGTAGTACATTCAGAGCTTCCTTAAATTTGAGATGTGCAAAAGGAGTATGATTTATACAGTATGAGATATGTAAAAAATACTGAATAAATTGGATGGTGCCCAGTTAAAAGACATGCATTCTGCTTTCCCAGTGTACCAGAACTTTACAGTGCTCTGCTTTCTACCTTTTTAGCATAACCCTTATTCAGAGCCTACTATTGTCAGGCTACAATCATTCAGTTTCAGTGAGAAAGAGGAGAAAATAAACTCTGAGCAAATAAAAATAAAGACTGATATCACAGCAAATGGTATATACAATTATTCAACCAGCATAGACATTATCTAAATCATAAATTGGTACTCCAAAGAGGAGTATACCTCCTCTGCTCGCACTTGTAGGAAGGCAGTTAGACGGGCCGAAGATACCATGGAGCTGAGGATGGCATCCCAAGTTAAGGATAACAAGAAATTGTTTTTTAGATATATAGGGAGTAAAAGGAAGGCCCAGGGTGGAATAGGCCCCTACTAAATGGGCAGAAGCAATTGGTGACGGACAGAGGGGACAAGGCTGAACTCCTCAATGAGTTCTTTGCCTCAGTGTTCCTAAGCGAGGGGCAAGACAAGTCTCTCACTGGGATTGTAGAGAGGCAGCAGCAGCAGGGCGCCAGACTACCATGTGTAGACCCTGAGATGGTGAAGAGTCACTTGGAGGAACTGGATGCGTTTAAGTCGGCAGGCCTGGATGTGCTCCATCCGAGGGTACTGAACGCACTGGCTGACGTCATTGCACAGCCACTGGTGGGAATATTTGAACACTCGTGGCGCGCGGGCCAGGTCCCGGAGGACTGGAAAAGGGCCAATGTGGTCCCCATTTTCAAGAAGGGGAGGAAGGAGGACCTGGGCAACTATAGACCAGTCAGTCTCACCTCCATCCTTGGCAAAGTCTTTGAAAAAATTATAAAGGCTCACATTTGCGAAAGCCTGGCAGGAAAAATTATGCTGAGGGGAAACCAGCACGGGTTCAT